AGGGCATTTCTAGGGGTGGAGTCCAGGTCACAGAAATAATTGGGGATTTGGAGATTGGGGCGGGGAGCTATTTTCTGAGTTTTTTCCTCCAGTGATTGAGTTACTGTTGGTCTTGGACAATAAATCGTCCTCCAAGAGACTCGCAGTAGGGGCACAGATGGAGGCGGTGCCATCGCCCCGTTTTACAGACGCAAAAGCCGAGGAGCAAAGGGGGAGGGGAAAGCGGAGGTGGGGCGGGGTCCTCCCGAAGCCAGGCGCCGCGGGGTCCGGGACGGCCAGCGCTGGGCGATCAGAATCAGTACCCACCCTTCCAAGCCCCGGGTCAGGCTCCGCGCCTCTTCTCCGCGTGCCCCCTGCGGGTGTGGCGCGGCGGGGAGGGGAGCCCCAAGCTCTCAGATTTCATCCCGCCGCCTGTTCCCAGCAGCCCCTCACAGATGTTCTCCTGCTGGGCCTCCTGAGCCGCGTTTTAGGGGCCCTTCACTGGCTCTTGGGGAGTGGGGATGGGCCGCCCGTGGCTTCGTCAGCACCTGGGAAGGCTTAGCGAGCACCTGGCCTGGATGAGGAGCGCAGCAGCTGGACGGATGGGCCCAGAGGCCACGAAACTCAGGGTCCCGCCAGTGCGCCAGGCCCCCTACTGGCCGAGCTTTCTTCCCTCCTCCCAGGTCCCCGGCAAGGGAGGAACCGATTTGCTTCCTGTTAATGCCGGGAAAACTGAGAAGTTGGGTCGCTTTTCCAAGCTCAGCAAGCAAGCTTTGAGCTGAGCCTTGAAGGATGGGAGAGATCTGGACATTTGGAGACTAGAGGGTTGTATGTCAGGCAGGGGAGCAGCTTGGGCAAAGACATGGAGGTGGGCTGGGATGCAGGGGCTACAAAGGGGGCTGGCAGCCAGCAGTGAGCAACGTTGGACCAGATGGTGAGGGCCCAGCCCTGGACTGCATCTGCCCCAAGGTCAGTGAGGCTTAGCTGGGCATCTGGGGGAGTGGGCCGTCAGACGGAATCAGGGAAGAAGCAAGGAGGTTGTCCAGGGTTTGCTGGAGAGATTTTGCGTCTGGTCAAGAGTGGGGGCAGGGAAGGAGGACAGGCCTTGCAGGACCCGTAGCACCTGGTGAGTGCTGGGAAGCTGGTTCTGGGGAGAAGTCAAATATCCGCATTTGTGGTGCTCTGTCTGCACAAATCCCTCATCTGCCCCCTCAAAAGGTCTGGGAAAGGTTAGGAGGTCTGGTAGGCTTCCTGGAGGAGGAGGTATCTGGCCTTGTGACAGCCTGGTCTGAGGTGGTGGGTCGCTCCATGAAAGAGGTAGCTCCCAGGATACTAACGGCGGCAGAGGGCAGAGGACAGCCAACAGGGCGAATGAGCTGGATCAGCCAGGAAGGGGGCACAGCCTCTGGGTGGAGCAACCATGACACACTCCTGCCTGAGGGCTGCTGACCTGGGAGGCCACTTCCGGGGTGTTAGTATGGGCGGGGTCTGGGGCAGCACCGCCCTGTAGAGAGAGCAGAGGGTGTGGCCACAGCCAGGACCCGCCCTCCTCCCCCGTCACAGCTCCAATGAGGCAGAGGCTACTGCAGCGCCCACCTCCCTTGGATGCCTTGGGACACAGAGCCCACTTCTGTCCTGTCTGTACTTACTCTTCCCAGGGGTGGGCTCCTTTCCCTGGGATTCATCTCCCCCTCCCCTCCCGACTGAGGACACCCTCAAAGCCAGTTCCAACCTGCCTCTTCCGGAACTTCAGTCCCAAATATCAGCTCCCCTGGGGGGACTTAGTGCCCACGTCTTGCAGGCTCTTCAGCCACACCATGTCCAATTCAGCTTCCTCTTTGGGGTCAAACCCGTGCGTATTTGAATTCCAGCCAACTGCGGCTCTTACGGGCTGTGGGATTTGAGAACAAGCTCCTTCCCTCTCTGTGCCCCACAAAAAGAGGATAATAATAGTTTTGACCTCGTACAGCGGTGGCGAGGGGTCAGCGTAAAGTTCTCGGAGCAGCGCCTGGCACAGGAAGTGTTCGATTCTCAGAAGAGGACCCCTTATCCAACTCAGTAGGGACGCCTTCACTGGGAGATAGGTTGGCACCAACAGAGGGCCCTACGTGACCCCGCCTCCCGCGTTCTCGCCCCGGCAGGATCCCCGCCCCTGAGTGTGAGCCGGGGAGGTACTGACTGATTTCAGTGAATAGAATAGAGCAGACATGATGCGATCATCACTTCTGGGATTAGGTGCTCACTCTCCCTCGTGCTGGGGGTGGGTGGGGGTGTGGTGCGCTGAACAGCCCGTAGAGAGATCTGGGGCAGGACCTGAAGCCACCGGCCTCTGGTTGGGGAGCTTGGAAGCAGATCAGTGCTTACCACCCTTTCAAGATTTTACATTTTCCCTGGTCTTCACAATTGTCTCATCTATACCGAGTTCAACAGCAATTTTAAAAATTAAATTACTTTTAGCCAGTCTTTCGAAATTGTCAACTTAGTTTTCATAGACACAGTGACTGCCTTTGTGCACTTAGATTTCAGCAGTTTGTGTATTATTCAATTAAAGGACACACATTAGTGTGTTGGAGGGTATAAAGAGGGTGGGGAACTAGGCGGTGGCGCTCAATGAATAGAGAAGCTTGGGGCAGGCATCGAACAGTCCCTCCAGGGGTTCCTAACCTGGGGTAGAGTGGGGTGCGAGGATGGCTTAAAGGTTCCAGGAGCTCCTTGAAAGTGTACCCACTGAATTGTCATGGATGACTGTGTGTGGGTTTTGGAAAAGGTCAGTAGCAAACGCTAGCTTTTTGCCCACGTGCTTTACAGAGGGTGTGGAGTGGCTCCATGCAGTTAGCTAGTTAAATGCAGCTGGGTTAAGCAAGCTTCTGCTGCATTGTTGTTTAATTACCTACAGCGCTATGGTGTTTCCAGCTTCTGGGATTTCTAAGTGCTTAAATCTAAGGAACATCTCTGTCAACATTTACCTTTACCTCTATATTCCATCAGTCACCAAGGCTCTGGGGTTGTGCCTTCCAGCTATCTCCCTGGTCCCCCTTCCCCCCTCCCAGTAACCCCATCATCCCCCTCAGTTCAGCTCCTTCCAGGAGGCTGCAGTGAGCTCTTACTGCTCCCACAGGCTGCCAGGAGGTATCTCTCCCTCCCCTGCTTTTGTCCCCCAACCTTTCCCTTTCAGCCATCCTGCTGTCCCACCTACCCAGCCCTCCTTTCGCTGCTCCTGCTCCTGCCCTTTGAATGCCAACCTTCCTACCTCATCCAGGTATGTTTCTAAGCCAGGCCCCTCCTTGCCACCTGCTCACCCAGACTGCAGAGAGAGGATGTGCAAAGAGCCCACCATCTGGGACCACTTAACTGTCCTGTGTCCTAGTTGTCCCAGCTGTAAAATAGAAGTAACAACAACAACAAAAAGTAACAATGACTGTCATCCCTCTTCCCTAGACTGTTGAAGGAACCAGATAACAGAGATGAAGGAGCTTGAAAAGTGTCAAGGGCTTTGTGAAGAACTATTATTAGCAGTAGTATTATTATCATTGTTGTTATAAGCGTTCAGAAACAAGACATTCACCCAATCCAAAAGTGGGCAGAAGACCTAAACAAGCCACTCCCCAATAAAGACATACAAATGGCCAACAGGCACATGAAAAAATGCTCAATGTTGCTAATTATCAGAGAAATGCAAATCAAAACTGCAAAGAGGTACCACCTCATACCAGTCAGAATGGCCATCATTCAAAAGTCCACAAAGGAAAAGTGCTGGAGAGGCTGTGGAGAAAAGGGAAACTCCTACACTGTTGGTGGGAATGTAGTTTGGTGCAGCCATTATGGAAAACAGTGTGGAGATTCCTCAAAAGACTACAAATAGACTTATCATAGGATCCAGCAATCCCGCTCCTGGGCATATATCAGAGGGAACCTTAATTCAAAGAGATACACACACACCAATGTTCACAGTAGCACTATTTGCAATAGCCAAGACATGGAAACAACCTAAATGTCCGTTGACAGATGACTGGATAAAGAAGTTGTGGTATATTTATACAATGGAATACTATTCAGCCATAAAAAATAATAAAATATTTGCAGCAACATGGATGGACCTAGAGATTGTCATTCTAAATGAAGTAAGCTAGAAAGGGAAAGAAAAATACCATATGCTATCACTTATTTGTGGAATCTACCCAAAAAAAAGGCAAAATTATTTACAAAACAGAAACAGACTCACAAACATAGAAAACAAACTTATGGTTACCAGGGGGAGAAGAGGGTAGGAAGGGATAAATTGGGGGTTCAAATTTTGCAGATACTAATATATATAAAATAAGCAGCAAGTTTATAGTGTGTAGCACAAGGAACTATATTCAATACCTTATAGCAGCTTGTGGTGAAAAGGATATGAAAACGAATATATGTATGATTGAAGTGTTATGCTGTACACCAGAAAAATGGAAAACGAAAAAAGAAAAGAAAGAAAAAGAAATAGCCAAAAAGTAGCAAAAATTCACCAGGTCCTTCCCCAGAGCGGCTGGGTGGGACAGGGGGTGGGGTCGGGCGAGGCGGAGGTGTAGAAGACCCGGGTTCAAGGCCCCATCAGTCAGCTTCCAATGGGAGGAAACTGCCAGGTCAGCCGCCTCCTGAGACCCAGCGACACAGCACCTAGGGCCACAGCACTTTTAGGGGCCCATGAAATATTTCAATTTCAGTTAAAATCAGAAAGGAAAAAAAAGGAACTTCTAGAGTGAGGAAAACATTTTAATACATATTATTTATATATTATTCTTTACCCTAATGCAGTCATAAAAAGAACTTTCATATTGTTTATGGAAGAAGGAGCCCAGGACAAGACCAAGCCCCTCAGTTACCTTAAAAGAGTCAGATGTGGCTCTGGGCCCTGGGCC